AGCAGAATCTTTCCTATTGATCCAGAAGGTCAGAGGCTTCATTCCCTAAACCAGGATTTGAAAAAAAATAAAAGCTGTTCTTGAACTCAATCTCCCTGAAAACTGAAGAAAAAAAAACATTCTAAAGAAAATTAGAAACTTAATGAGAAAACTGGAAAACATATTAAGTTTTTTGAAGTTCCAGTTTTTTTGAAACACATTTAAAAAAAAAAAATAAATAAAATAAATAAATAAAATAAAAATAATAAAAAAATAATAAAAAAATAAATAAATAAATAAAAAATAAATAAAAAAATAAATAGATAAAATTAAAATAAAAAACATAATAAAAAATAAATAAATAAATAAAAATAAATAAATAATAAATAAAAAAAAAAAATAAAAAATATAAAATAAAAAATAAAAAAAATTTCCTTTTTTTTATAAACGTCTTTTTTGCTTTCAACAATATTGGAAAAACAAACTTGTGTCCATACTCTAAAACTAAAGGGTTAGAGCCTGAAATGGCAAAGCATGTTCTTCATCATCATCATCATCATGATATTAACTGAATGATCATTCAGTTATTCAGAGATAAACTAACCTTTACTAAAATGCATGCAGTCCTACAAAGGTTCAAAGTTTCTCAGCAAGTTCAGTCACGGTTTCTGCTGACGATTTATGAGGGAATGTAGCTGCAGGAGTGGGAATAAGAGGATAAATCCTCATAAAAAAGCACAAAGATGGATTTATGAATTCCTGGTATATTTTATTATCACATGAATCTGTTCCTAATGTCATTCCTCTGTGAGCTACTGACTGTTCAGCTGCAGAAAAAGCTTCTGTCTGAATTTTGGTGCAAAGCTCAGACTCTAAAATCCTTTTTTCTGTACAAGGTGATTTAAAAGGATCAATCCAGTCTGCAGCATTATTATAAATGTCTACATTGCTACACCCGCACTATACTGAACTATCTGTCTCAGATAATAAACCCTTTGGAAAATGTTAAAGAATAAAAAACTGGATGAATGAAATCGTGTAGCAATCAGGGGCAGAGATCAGAAGCAACTTTCTAAGAGAAACAACCCTGGAGGATATGCTGGTTGCACAATGTTAGACACATATTTGAAGGAGCTGAGTTCTGCAGGATCCAGCATGCATGTGCATGCATGAGAGAGGGGCTCACCGTGCTTTAGAGCCACAGTGGAAGAGGAAAATGATGGCAGGTGGCCAACCACAGCAGCAGTCAGTGCAAAGAAAACACTGCAATAGAGTCAGGAAAAACAAACATGGAGCGGTTGATTGGCAGAGTGGCGGGGTTGTTGTAATGCTGGATACCTGCAGCCTGGAAACACAGGTAACAACATGAGGTTTCTGTCTGCAGAGCCGTTACTGAGGCGGATCTGCTGCAGAGGGGGTTCAATAGTAAACATATCGAGGAGATGGGGATGGCAGCCGCTCCTCGGTGTGGAGAGTCAGTCTGTCCTGCGGAAGGCCGTCTTGGTCGCAGGTCAGACTGGAGATCAGATTCTGGATCAGATCCAGGCTGATGCTGACTTTTCTTTGCTCAGTCTGAGTTTAGTGCGGCTTCCAGTCCAAAAACATGACTGTTAGGGTTAACTGGCTTCTCTAAACCCTCCTTAGGTGTGTGTGTGAATGGTTGTTTGTCCTGTTTGTGTCTGTGTTGCCCTGTGATGGACTGGATACCTGTCCAAGATGGATCCCTCTCACAGCTGGACATTGGCACCAGCACCCCTCACCAACCCAGCTGGGATAAAGCATGAGGGAAAACAGATGGATTAACTCAGAAGAAACCAGACTAAAGGTTTATTTGCTGATTTTTTCCAGTTTTTCCCAGAATGCATCTTGATGTTTTAACGGGTTGTCAGTCACTGTTTCAATGAACAGGTTGTCTCTTACTCCTGGTTGTAGAACCTCACAGGTTCTGGTGTCTTGGTGCAAACAGGCTCCTGTCTAACTGCAGAAATCTGCAGAACGTCTCAGACAGCTTCTGATGATCCAGAGTCTGATTATCAGGTAGAGTGGGGCGAAACAATTCATTGGATCAATCTTTATATCTGTAAACCAGCAGGATTGTTTCAGCCTGCATCATTTCTTTGATTTGTTTCTCAAATAATGATTGATTCTGTTTAGAGGATGCATGATTGAGAAGAAGAGATAACCTGGTTAGATTAAGATCACTGTATGAATCTGAACATCAAGGTTTCATGACCTCAACCAGCACTAGTTACACCGCAGGAAGCAGATAGACAGTATTTCCAGAAGGATCTCCTGAATAAAACTGAAGATCTATGAACTGACTGATGCTACATTCACATTTCAGCATCAAAGAAGCTTCTGCTGCTTCATTTCTGATCCACATTAAGGTCAGCCGTCCAGTAAAGTGAGTCCAGATGCTTCTGCTGCTCCTGTGTTCGATGCCAGAGAGCAGCTTTGCTATATTAGCTGTGATCAGCGGGTAGAAAGTAGTTAGAATCTATGTTGAAGTGAGAAAGTCCTCCTGAAAACATGGTCTGTGCAGTCAGTTCATCCAGATCACCATCCTGCCTTCAAAGATTATTTCTCTGTGGGAGCCGCTCAGACCCCCACATACCGGCGCTGCGCTGTCACTGGGAATCCCCAGCAGCAGCTGCCTTAGGCCCGCTCGCCTCTCCAGGGTTTTCCCCTCCTGTTGGTGGCGGCTGGAAGTAGATGTTAGCGTTTTTCAGGTCTGTGCTACAAACTGCAGGCAGCAGGATAATAAAAGCCAACATATTCTGCCGGCAGGTTTCTACATTTGAAGTTAATTTAGGCGTTAATAAACTGTTTCAGAGGAGTGATCATAGCGCTCTGCATCAGCAGTGCTGCGTCTGACTCCCTGCCAGCTCCCAGATCAGCTTCTCTCATTGGTTGATGAGGCGCGTCCAGCAGATAAAGTTCAGCTGGTGCTCATGAAGCGCCTCAGATGCTCAGAAGCTCATGAGGCGCTGCTTCAGCTGCTCTAGACACTGCAGGACCTTTTAAAGCTCCTCGATGTGCGTCAACCATTGACTTTGCATGGAAATCTGCTGCTTCTGCTGCTTAAAGCGCGTTCGGTGTGAATGTAGCATGACTGTCAATGAATAGTGAAACTAATCTTCACTGCATCTACAGCAGAACTGCAAACATCTTCCATTCTTTTACGATTCGGCAGATGGCCGCTCGCACTGAGCCTGGTACTGCTGGAGGTTTCTGCCTGTTAAAAGGGAGTTTTTCCTCTCCACTGTCGCTACAAGCATGCTTAGTGTGAGGGATTGCTGAAGAGTCAATGAGTCGATGCAATCAGCTGGTTTTCCTTAGATAGAAAACTTTGTATCAATCTGACTGGATGATCTGGTGAACTGGAAAGTGACCTGAGATGAGTTGTGAATTTGGCGCTATAGAAATAAACTGAATTGAATTGAAATTGATTCAAAAACATCAAAATCTTTTTTGTTTTTTTAGGAATCATAGTCAAACAATAAATACAAATACTTCTGCCATTATTGGTTTATTCCCATTTCTGACAGGAAGGGATCTGATCACTCTGTGGAAGAAAAACACTAAATAAATTGTTTGTTCTTTCTTCCATGCAGTGATGTGTTTAAACTAACTGAAGCACATAGGGTGCATTTCTGACTGTGGAACAAAACACAACAATTATTAGTTCACAAACATCCGACTGCCGCTGAGACGACATAAAAGGAGGAGTTCTGTGTGCAAACAGTAAAATAACGCAGAAGCTTCCAGATCCTGTCCTGTTTTCTTAAAATAAGTGCATTTTTTTCTTGAATTGAGGAGGTAAGTGAGACACTTTGCCTATGGAGTTAGCTTTGAAATAAGAAAAAACAATAATTGCATTGTCTCATTGCTTATAATCTTATTACCTCATCTTAAGAATAAATATACTAATTCTATTGGCAAATCATCTAGTTTAACTACTCCAATTAAGGGTAAATACATTTAACCCTTTATAGGGCCTCAGTGAAGTACTTTGAAAATAAAATAGTGTTTTTGGAATCCAGGACAAGACATTATTACCATTTTAACATTAAAAAAATATGGATATTTTGAGGGTACAAAATTAATGTCAATGTAATAAAAAGAAACGCCAACTTGCCCGAATATATTAAGAAAAATAACAAAAGTGTTTCTATAAGAAATCCATGAAAAACACTCTGAGAGTGAAAGAAACAAATTTTTTTTGGTCCAACATAACCTTAGAGGCATTAATGCTGATACGGGCACTTAAATTTTATAAAATTATAAACCTAAATATAACAGTTAAATAGAATTACTAACTTTTTAACTTTACTTTATAAGTTTTCAATTAGCTTTTTACCAATTTTTCTTAACTTAATTTCCAGTAAGTAATCTATCATTCAAGGGCTCATCTAATTGGTCAAATGCTAAAATCAGATGTCCAGACATGTAGCAGGATCTTTGATGAATGGATGGATATAGATCTTGTGTTTCTAGACCTCACTGAGGGACGGGGTGGAAGACTCCATTTGTAAGGGGGATACAGGTGATCAAAAACGCTAACTTGCCCTATAAAGGGTTAATTTAAGACATTATTCCTTTCATTTTTTCTTTCTAGGTGTTTACTGCAGTGTGTCCACCAGGCTGCATCTGTGACCTTCCTGGAAACAATCCTCTGAGTCCTTCCATGTTGCGTCGCTGTATTTCTGCAGATTGAGCTCCCTGCAGCTGCAGAGATGCATAATCTGAAGGATTCATCTGTCTGCGTGCGAATGTGGGCACCTCAACAATGATGTCTCAGAGCAGGAGGTCAGAGCGTTCTGACCTTAGCGGGGGTCTGACTTCTCGCCACCAAAACCACAATGATCCCTCATTCACAGCCGCTTCATGACGTCTGGAAAATATTCCACTGCTCATTGAATCAGGAACGTTTGCATGAATAAAAGATTTAAGGGAAAACAGAGCAAAACTGCCCCCCTGTGGTTGACAGACATACTGCACGCCGGCAGCAGCTCCTTTACCTGAATGGGTCTGCCGTCTTCAGAGCCAATCATGTTCCTCCATTCCATCAGCGAGCGCTGCAAGGTGTCCAGTCCCGTCTCCCACTGCCGGACGTAGCCCCCCATGTCCACTGTGACCACGCCTCCGGAGCCCAGAGCCGCTACCAGCACGTCACAGTCAGAGACCTTGGACAGCCAGTTGGTGTAGGGCGACACGGTCATCGACCTGCAATCAGACACGACAGGAACCTCAGAGGGTCACATTAACCACAACCCTAATGGACAACACTAACTCCTGTCTGAGAGGCTGCATCAGCTGTATCCATGGAAACGCCTCAGATTATAGTTGAAGATCATTTACATCCATCGTCTCCGGGCAGGTTGTTCTGTAGTTTTCAAACACCGACTCTACTGCCTCTAAATTCTAGGAAAACATCATGATGCTTTTATTCTGGTTCTGCATAACGAACACAGACTGAGACCTTCGGGGAAACTAATAGTGTATTTCTAAAAAAAAAAAAAATTAAAATCAATCCACTGGACTTTGTTTCCCAGTTTGAAGACGTTTCTCTTCCATCCAGGAAGTTTTTTCAATTCCAAATGTCAGAAATAGCGTTTAGTTCCAGGTTTTATCCAGCAGCCCAACAAAGCCTGGTTTTAGTTTAGAAAACATGCAGATAGAAACGGATGAACGGGTCCCCCCCTTTGGAATGGGGGTCGTTTGGCTTCTTTGTTAGCCTGTAATGCCCCATACCTGTCTATGTCTCTGAAAGGGGGGTCGTTAGAGGGAATTGTTGGCCTGGCAGAATAGGTGAGGTCCTCCGCTCTCCTGTACTGATGCTGGGGCTGCCATGATAGTGGAAAGGGAACAACTCAATTGCTACGGCTCTGGGTCATTGCAGGTTGGTCTTCGTCCCGAGACGGAGACCAACCTCACAGTCTGTCCTTTGCCATGTTGTCTAGGGTGTGATTTAGGCCGGGCATTCGCCGTACGATGTTCTCAGTTGTTGTACTCAGCTACAGCTCAAACTTTACAACTAAAAAAACAGGATCAAAAACAGCTTACGATATTTGTTCTCACGCTGAGCGACCTGACGCTCTGATGCAATCTACCTGCCCGCACTGCAAGTCCAAAAACCATGTCTAAAAACCACGACCAGTGCCGAGAGATGCCGCTGGTCAGACGCGTCAGCCTGGAAGAAGGATAACTCCCTTGTTAGCCCATGAGCAGTGCTGGAGGTTCTGGTAAATCGTCTTCAGCAGCAGGATTTACCCACCAACACCTCAGGAGGACGACTAGATTTCAATCATGTTTGATTTTCTCCTGACCTTACGACTCCTGATGAGGAGGCGGTCGTTGGAGGCTGATCGCCCCTCGTTAGCCCCTGTATGCTACACCACGCTAGCCTGGTAAGACCATCCTGATCTCGCGAGCTTTCAAGGTTTCACTCGCAGATCAGTCTGGAGACTCTCCGTTGAAGAAAATTTGGAGCCGTTCACCAAACGAACGTCCAATCAGCGTTGGCTTTGAGGCGGGTTGAGGTGTGACGCAACGAGAAGCGCGACAGTTCAGTCTAAAGAACATGGCGGCTTCAGCCGATGAAACTAGCGTTAGCGTGGCTATGGAGCAAGTTTTATCGGAATTACAGAGTATTTCTTCACTGAAAGAAGAGCAAAACACTGCTCTGGAGGCTTTTCTCAGAGGAAAAGATGTTTTTGCTCTTCTCCCGACTGGTTTCGGCAAGAGTTTGATCTATCAATTGGCTCCTCTTCGTCGTCGCTCTGTTAGTACGTTATATGCTTCGTTGATCTTATCGGTTTATTTGGCCCGTCTATCACCAACATAGGCCAATCAGCTAACCAGTATTTTCGCCCCTTCCCAAAATTACTTCAACGGAAGGTTTCCAGATGGATATGAGGAGCAAATCCATCTGGGGGAGTCAGGTTAACACCACGCAGCATGAGGCTGAAACTTGAACTGATCCAAAAAATTCCCACACGACTGGAGAATCGGCCCAAAAAGGTTAAAATCTGACAGTTTACGCCCGAATTAAGTCGTTTAATGGAGACGTTTCAATTTCACCAACAGGTCTGCGGACATTTATGAGGTTAATGAAACTTTAGAAGAAAGAAAATAAAGTGAAGTCGATGCTGTTATTGCTGAGGGGAGAATCAGGATCAGAGCCGCAGCTTCAGGAGGCCCCTGATGAGACTCTAAACAAACTCAAATATCGAAATCCTCCAAAAACATTTTATATGAAGCTATGGATGCTGTTTCAGAAGAAAAAAGGGAGATTTTTAAAGCATTATTTACTGCAGATGGAGAATAGTAGCCTGGAAAACTATTCAGTAAGGGTCCAAGTAGGAGCCTGGAGGCCCCCACTGTAGACAATATACACCATATAAGGTGGTGTAGGTGTTGATAAAAATAATAGAACAATGATCACAGTGGGAGGAATTCAGCTGAGCTGATCTCAGATCAGGATTGAACAGATCAACCAGAAAAGGCTGATAGTTTACCTGATTGAGAGGCTAAATGCCAAAATACTAAACATAACTCTCAGAAATCCACCTTAAAGTGATATTCAGGTTCCTCATTTCCTTTTGACAACAAACTCTGATGCGTAACATTTAAAATATACATAAATAAATGCTGAGGACATTTTATCTGCATTCAGGTTTTAGTTTGAATGAAAAACTAAAATAATAAGTTGATTAAAACACCAGCAGTGACACAGTCCTCCTCCATGTCATCCTGCTTTCCTCCACCAGGTGGCAGCATAGTATGGAGGATGAAAGGGGTTTACCTTGGAACTGGGATGTATTTGAGCTTTTTGGAGGTCAGATCGGTCACTTCCAGGTACGCCGCTGCCAGTGGAGGAGTCACATCTGAAAGAAGAAGACTTTTCAAACTCTCACCTTCATTCAACATCTCCTACATGACCTGAACTCTGACCTTTCGGGTAGACGTCGCCCAGGGGAACCTGTGAGGGCGGAATGGCTCGGACCACCTGATTGGCCGACAGCAGGGCGATGCAGTTCTCCCGTTTGGCCGTGCCGCTCCGCAGCGCGCCTCTGAAGAACGTATGAGAGCCGCTGCCGCTGCTCTTCACGGCCGACAGGTCGACGGGCCTCTTAAAGGTGTACACCTCGTTAGGGGACTGGTCCGAAGGAAGCAAACACACCACAGCTGAAGGTTAAGAACCTCATTTACTGCTTTAGATGCTGTTTATGGTGGAAAACAGAGAATTTTAAATGTTTGCTCTCAAGGTTATTTAAGTTCTCTGCAATAAAATCACATTTTCATTCATTTTGTTCAGAAAGCATTGATCCTCCTCATTGAACTATTCAGCATTGGTCACATTAATTAAATTAAATCTGCAGTTCTCAGTGTGTCGTACATTAATGAGGCATCAGTGCAGCGTGAGCTCAGCATCAGCACAGTCACTCATTAAAGGAATAGTACACCTAAAACATGATTAGCCTTCATTTTCTACTCACCCCCATGCTGAACAACACTCTGGAGTACTTTTTTGATATCTCAAATGCATCTGGAGATCTGGGAGGCTTCGAAAACGAAGTCATTTAGAATGTTTTTAGAGCATAAACAGTAGTGTATAGGATTTCCTGAAAGCGCGCGCCAGCGCGTTCAGGACGCTACGGAAGCCGGCAGACCAAACCAGATGAAAGTGCGCATTCAGCGTCTGCTCTGCCGATAATGCAAGCGTAGAAGAAGAAATGTGCTGTTTACCTGTGCAAAGAAAGAAACAACGAAAGAAAAATGTCTGAGGACTTCAGTGTTGAGGAAGAGCATGAGTTCTTTGCCGAGCTGAATGCGCACTTTCATCTGGTTTGGTCTGCCGCGGTTTCCGTAGACTCGTGAACGCGCTTTGAGGAAATCCTATACACTACTGTTTATGCTCTAAAAACATTCTAAATGACTTCGTTTCGAGTAAATTCTGGACGCTACCCACTCAGGACACTTGGAATACATTGGACGAGCAGTATGGAGGAATATTGACACGTTTTTTGTGGACTTTTATGGACCTTTCTGCCTCGGGCGCCATAGACCTCCATTATTTGAATGTCAGCAGACAGCAAGAAGCCTCCCAGATCTCCAGATGCATTTGAGATATCAAAAAAGTACTCCAGAGTGTTGTTCAGCATGGGGGTGAGTAGAAAATGAAGGCTAATCATGTTTTGGGTGTACTATTCCTTTAAAGGCTGGAACACGTCGCCTGTGTTTGCGACTTTTTAATCTCCGATACGATTTTTGTCTCACTGCTTGCTATAGAGAGGCTCCTACTAGGCAGGGTGAGCAGATCTGCACAGGTTTTCTACACCTCTGTCTCTGTGCTATACACACTGCGGCTGTAAAATGTATGCTATTAATGCTAATTACTCACTATAAAAGGTTTCACTTAATCAGCCTGTTTAACCTGCAAGGCCTCACAGTTCCCCTGAGTGACGCTGTTTGTAGAAAAGACAGACTTCTTCCCTTCTTCCCATAACAAACCAGATTCTTTCTTGTGGTTTGTTCATAACATTTTACCGTTTAACCAAAGTGTCAGTAATTCTTTTTGAGTCGTTATTGTAAGTAAGGCGGAACGAACTCTGCTCAGATCAGAACAGGGCTGATTACCGTGCAATAAGGGCCGTATGATGAACTGTTCCCTCTTTGCAAAGATAAAAATAAAGTACAGACTGAGTTTATTTAACTGGGGTGAATAGTTGAAAACTTTTTTCATACGACACACATTAAAATGAAAAGTTACTAGGGTTGTCAAAAGTATCGATACTCAAAAAAGTATCGATACTGAAACGTTGTATCCGGATACACTACTAATTTTCAAAAGTATCGATACAGCCATCTAAAGTGCAGAATAGAGGAAAATGCACTTTCTGAACACTGTGTGATGGAATAATTCTGTGAATTTTTCAGTTTCAGACTTTTTTTGTAACAGGTGCAGCTGCTGAGAATTATTTTTGGTTAACTGGTTTGGCTAGTGTCATTGTTATGTCTGCAAAACATAGCCAACGAAGGAACACTTAATTTTAATTTTGTAACTTTTTTATCAAGCTTGCTTAATATTGTGCACAGCATACAACCTCAAAAATTATTCTATTGTTTTTTTATTTATTTATTGTATTTTTTTAGTAATGAAAATATTTCTGTCGAATTTTAGAGTCTTTGTTTTTTTTTTTGTGGTATCGAAAAGGGTATAGAGTATCGAATATTTTACTTAGTATCGGTATCGAGTTGAAAAGTTTAGTATCGTGACAACCCTAAAAGTTACTTAAAAAAAAAACAATCAAAAAAACACTGCTACATTCTATAAAGCAAAGCTCTACTTAATGAGTCTGTGCAGCATCTAGAACCAGAGCAGATAGAGAATGTACATCTATTAAAAACATAATGAGATCTATGTGTAAAGAAAAATGCAGCAATAAACTCTGTGGGACGGTTTCCAAGGTGACAGAGAGGTGATTCTCAGAGAGATCTGGGAAGTTTATCCAGTTTTTCTTCTTTTTCCATAAAGAGGTGAGAGAGATCCTCTGCGCTGACCTGCTCTGTCTGCTCCTCCTGATTCTGGAGGATCTCTACTTTATCCGTTTCTGTCCTCCTGATCTCCCATCATGGGGAAAGTTTCTATTTTAATGTTTTTGCTCCAGTCTGTCCTGCTCACTATAAACGCGATGAGCGACTCCAAACTGACTCTTTCTCCGTCAGATTAACAGATTTTATTTTCCAATTTCCCCCAAAGCGGATCTGTTTTACTTTCTAACCGCGTCTCTCTTCCTGTCAGACCCATGAAATTGCTGCAGAATTGCTGCGTAGTCCGATTAAAACAGACCTGGGCTCTATCTCAGTCGGAGCTACGCTGCCCCCTGCTGGAAATCATCCCCATTGACTCTTAATGAGCGTTAAACGTCACGGCCTCTAAGGCACGATTCTCTGTCGGATCAGACGTTAAATCGGAATGGATTCAGAGATTAGCCTGTTTTCACCATCAGGTCCGGGAATCCCACGATGATCTGTGCAAAGCAGCTGCTGTCGGCCAGCAGGCGGTTTGGGGAGACGATCTTCTGCTCCAGAGTGGCGCTGAGGTTCTCGTTGGGCAGCTGCTCGTTGGAGAGCATCTGAGGCACCACAGCCTCGGCTGGGAGGAAAAACAGAAAACAGAGTTACAGCGATAATGGTTCCTAATCGTTGTGTCGAGTCCTAAGATCTGCTGCCGATATGCTTCAACCATCCAGAGGAAGTTTACTTTACATTTCGGTGCAGATTTCCTGATTTACAAACACTTTGTCATGATTCAGGCTGAGACTGGAACGTATCTAGAAGTGGAAAGTTTTTACGGACTGAGAGCTTCTAGAATGAACCAATCTGATCTGGTTGAATCGTCTCTATAACCTGAGATGACATGATGTGAATTGGCAGTATAGAAATAGACTGAATAGAACTGAATTATTCTGCTCTCTGGTAGGAACCTCAACGCCTGAAGAAATGTGGCGGATGAAGCCGTCATGTGACCCACCAGAAGCGGCTCCATGACCAGCGCTGACCGGGTCCTCGCTGATGCTGTGAAGCTGACAGACGCCTGAATCTTCCACTGCCGTGTGCATGGGTTTGGTCAGCAGGAACTTCCTGAAACGGGAAAAAAAAAAACATTTTGACACTTATTAAGAAAAAAAAACAACCAGTGAAGAGATTTGGGAGGATCCACTGACTTGTTGGTGTTGCTCTCCAGAAGAAGCCACCTGTCCTCCGCAACCAGGAATACCGACTTCAAGTTGATTGGCAGGGAGATGGAGTGAACCTGGCCCTCCAGCACGTCCAGCACCTCCAGCTGGTTCCTGTTGGACAGACAGAGGAGCCGATCAGACGGAGCCTTTTAGCCGCTGTGGACGGCGTGCGTCCGAGCGTCTCACCCGTCCTCCTTATAGAAGAGCAGCCAGTTTTTCCGGGAAAAGTCGCGACACATCTTATGGCCTCCCTGCAGACAGAGACCAGTCAAACCAGAGCAGCAGCGGATAAAAAGTCTCTGTCTGGAGCTCCTCTCTGACCTGCTGATCTTTGCTGCTCCACCAGCCGGAGGCCTTGGAGGAGGTCTGATCAGTGTCTGGAGACAAGACCAGCCTGCGGACGGCCCCCGTCCCCATGTCCAGGTGGAGCACCGTGTTACTCTGGAGCAGCGACAGAGAGGACAAATGAAAGCTGGAAACGAGTCGCTTTAAATAAAAAAAGAAACCAGTGAACATCAGAGATCTGATTGTTCCTTATGTTCCTAACAGAGCACTTCGCTCTCAATCTGCAGGTTTACTAGTGGTTCCTAGAATTTCTAAAAGTAGAATGGGAGGCAGATCTTTTAGTTATCAGGCTCCTCTCCTGTGGAACCAACTACCAGTTTTAGTCCGTGAGGCAGACACCCTGTCTACTTTTAAGGCTAGGCTTAAAACTTTCCTTTTTGATAAAGCTTCTAGTTAGAGTGGCTCAGGTTATCCTGATCTATCTCTATAGTTCTGCTGCTATAGGCTTAGACTGCTGGAGGACATAGGGACCCCTTTTTCCTCATTCTGCTTCATTCTATCTCTATTCTCCCACTCTGCAGAATCTGTTAGTTCAATCTCTAACGTTCTGCTCTTGTGCCTTGAGATTAAATGTGTTGTGAATTGGTGTTATATAAATAAACTGAGTTGAACTGAAACAGAAATCATTCCTGTCAAAGGAAGGCGGAGGCTTTGGTGTTTTACTTTGCAGCAACAGTTCCAGGATCAGCAGCCTGTCTCTAAAAGCTCAGGTCACTCCCTCTGGATCTCTGAGGGTTTTCCTTCCTTCTCACATATTCACAGAAAATGCAAAGTGAAAGTTTCAGATGAATGCATCAAACGGGCCCCTGGCCCCAGATAAAAAACTCGTCCAGCTCAGGTCAGCGGCTGGCCTGCAGAACGAGGGAATCACCTCGATAGAATCTCTGAGGAGAACCACCATCCAGGCCCAGGAGAAACGGGGAGACTAACCGAGCCAGAACCAGGTCTACAGCTCTGCAGGCATCACTCAAGGTCAGAGGTCATGGTTCATCAAAAAGAGACTGGACAAAATGGCCGCCACAGGACAGTTAAAGATAAATCCCGCTGCTGAACAGTATCGCCACGCACTGCAAAAATGTAGAAATAAGTCAAAATGTCTTACATTAAATGTATTTACCCTCAATTTGAGTAGGTAAATAAGATGGAAGGAGGATTTTTACACTTAAAATAAGGTAATTAGATAATATACACTAGAAATAACAAAACTAAATTGTTTTTTCTTATTTTAAATGTTAATTGTCTTTTTTTATTGGCAAAGTGTCTAACTTACCTCCTCAATTCAGGAAAGAATGACTTATCTAGATTTCCATTTTTTCTAGTGTAATCTAAGTAATTCAATTTTTCTCAAAATAAAATGATTTTTTTTTCTTGAATTACACTGGAAAAAATCGAAATCTAGATACGTCATTTTTTATGAAAATAAGTGCATTTTTTCTTGGATTGAGGAGTAAAAGAGACATTTTGCCAAAGGAACACAATAATTTACATTTAAAATAAGAAAACAATTGCATTGTCTTATTTCCAGTGCATTTGATCTAATTATCTTATTTTAAGAGTAAATCATCTCATTTACTGACTCAAATTAAGGATAAATACACTTAGTTTAAGAAAGTTTTACTTATTTCCAGTGTAAGCAGGTAATAGAGACTTTGCCAATGGAACAAGACAATTTACATTTGAAATAAGAAAAAAAAAAACTGCATTGTTTTATTAAAAGTCTATAAAATCTAAATATCTTATTTTAAGTGTAAAAACATTAATTCCATTTGCAGATCATTTTATAAACCTACTCAAATTAAGGTTGAATACGCTTATTTTATGAAATGTCTACTTATTTTTAGATCATTTTTACAGTGTGAAGATAACGTTTCAAAAATGACAAAATGTGTTTTTTACAAACAATAAAAACTTGTTCAAACTCAAAGGGCAGACTGCTTTCAACACAATCGTAATGAATCTGAATAAAAAAAGAAAAACAGAACAAAAGATCCATCAAAGGAAGGCGAGAGAGGAAGTCCTCCACAGAGATCTGAAAGACGCCATGTTGGCCCCAGGCTGATGATCAAAGCTCATTCAACCAGCAGGGGGCAGTCTGCTCCAAGAAGAAGAGGCGCCGCTGTCCTGGGGAATCCAGCCAATGAGGAGGCCGTCTGCGGCGGTGAGCGAGACATTTCCCTTTCTGTGCCTCGGATGAACCCTGCCGAAGGCTTTGAGACGCAAAAAGGATTCATCATGGAGTGAGCTTTACGACAGGGGCCACGGGGAGCGGGGGCCCTGGCCCCCAGCTTCACACTAATACTTTCCTTATGGCCTCCCAGACCAATGATGAAGGTGAAGGAATCATCCAGGTCCCTCTGCTGGTCCTACATCCACCCTGCAGCCTCCTCTGGAGGACGCCCCCCCCCCTGAACCAACCTCTTTATTTTTAGACAGAACAAGCCTGATGCATGTATTTTTAGAATGAGCGGTTCTGGTGGTGGACGTTGTTCTGCTGTCACAGGTCCGGCTCTCCCAGGGCAAAGGAAAACCGCCAACCACCGTCCATTTTAAGAAGCAGACTCGTCAGCAGCTATTTTCATCCGTGAGGTTCCTGACCTCGCCTGGAGTCAGAGGACTGCAGACACATCGTCTCTATAGATCAGCGTATCCAAGTTAGCATCGTCTCAGTCCTTCAGACAAGATCTATAAAATCAGAAGGAAGGAGGACCGCTGTGTTTCTCCTGTTTGACCAAAGCCATCATCAACTCAAAGCATCAATAGTTTGATGAAAAGAAATGAGTGAAAACAGTCGAAGCGTTTTCAGCTTTTCTTTCCAGATTTAGAACCTGCTGCTGTATTCAGACAGAAACAGGACAGACCAGCTGTGATCACACATTTATTTCAGAAGCTGGTTTTGATGAAACCGGCTGGTTTTAGCTATGATCACAAACATTCAAACTCATCCTCTCTAGCTGCCCTGGTGCGAGCACGGTGAGGTGATGTCACACTGTGTGAGAAAGCAAAAACTTCAAATAGCCTCAAACATGCTACGTCTACACACCTCTCTGACCTGGAAACAGCAGAAACGTCTACAGAGACAGTAGATGTAGATGTTTCTGCTGTCCCCTCTGGCTGTGTGTTTCCTGGACGGGGCCGCCTGTGGAGCTGGTTGACAGTTGCCTTTTGTATCTATGCTTCTTTTTCTATGTCTACTTCTGTCTCCTTGAACCCCAGTGGGCCTCAGCAGATGGCCGCTCACACTGAGCCTGGTTCTGCTGGAGGTTTCTTCCTGTTCAAAGGGAGTTTTTCCTCTCCACTGTCGCTACAAGCATGCTTAGTGTGAGGGATTGCTGAAGAGTCAATGAGTCGATGCAATCAGCTGGTTTTCCTTAGATAGAAAACTTTGAATCAATCTGACTGGATGGTCTGGTGAACTGGAAAGTGACCTGAGATGACATGATGTGAATTGGAGCTATAGAAATAAACTGAATAGAATAGAGATAAGTAAAAAAAATAAATGCATTCCAATATCCTAACAGAGGTTCATTTTAGTAAAGGAGAGCCCTGCTAGAAAGGTCTGGGAAGGACGGGGTTACAGATGGTTAGGAGGGTTCAAATGGCGTGGATTAAAAATAAAGAACAATATTTGGTACAAAATGTATTCAGAAAAATTCACATGCTGATTCAGGAGGCTTAAAAAAGCGCTTTGTTAGGAGCTTTCTATAAAAACCAGACCCTGTTCAGTGATTCTAAAGCCGTCTTATTGGAATCAGCCTGAACGCAGGCGTTCAGCTGTGTGGGGCTGAAGCAGCGGCGGCGACCATCGCCTCCCTTTGGGAATTTCACCACTTTCTCTTCCCTCGCTGCCTGATGACAGCGGTTAGAATTAGTTTGACCATAGCGGGAAGAAAACGCCACACTGCTGACTGTGGAAGGTCAAGTTTGACTTTCCACAGTGTGAACGAGCCAAGCGGGGGAGCTGCTGAGAAATCCCAGAGTGGCTCCGTCTCTTTAAATGGACACAGAGGAACCAAAGGAAAATGTGGTCCTCTCCCAAACTGCTGAAACACATTCCTGTTTAGACAAAAATAACACTTCACCACTTCTTATTCGCCGCTCCTCTGGAGCGTGATAGTACCTGCTCCTCGTGTAGCACCACCTGTCCGTCCAGCGGGCTCCCCAGGGGGGCCACGGTGACGAAGGGCTGCCAGACACCGCTGATGGTCCTGGGGAAGACGTCGTAGAGCTCCATGCAGCGGATGCTCTCCCCGCGCTCCGTCATGGAGTACAGGGACACGGGGTTACACATGGCCACGTACAGCGTGTCTGTAAGACCAGGGGGGGGGGGGGGGGGGGATACTACCTTCAATCAGGCATGAAAGGATTTATTTATACAAATACACTGCAAAAATATTTAATTTTTTTCTTAAAATAAGTCATTCTTTTCTTGAATTCAAGACGCAGGTGAGACATTTTGCCAATGGAACAACAGTATTTGGATTTAAAATAAGTAAAAAACTATTACATTGTCTTACTTCAAGTGCATATTATCTAATTATCTAATTTTAAGAGTAAAAATAATCATTCCATTGGCAAACTATCTAATTTACCTGCTCAAATTAAAGGTAAATACACTTAATTTAAGACATTTTTTACTTATTTTTTGATTTCTTATAAAACACATTAGAACTGATTTACTCTAACATCAAAGATGCATTCAGAGCAGCCCCCCCCCCCCACGGTGCGGTTCGGTTCACGGTTCCGTGGTCACGGTTTTCGGTTCGGTATATGTTGATTGTTAGCCTGACATGTTGGTCATGTTGCTGTTAGCATAAACAAAACGTGTTGCACACTGTTGCACTTTTATCCACAGCTTTCTTTCCGCCGTCATCGTAGGTCACTCTAAATGCAAAGTGGTCCCATACAGCAGACCTATAAAGTGCTGCTGGCGCGTCTTCCAACTCCTGTTCTTTCCCACTCGCCATACCCACACAATTCTCCACAACAACTGATTTTTTTCTGTTACACCCGGCTACGATGCTTCGCTTCTTCTTCTTCTTGTTTACTACTGGTGGTTGGCTTTAGTCGCACTACCGCCACCTTCTGCTCTGGAGTGTAAACGCTTCGCCTATGAGAAAAAGGAGCAGCGCATGAACCGAACGAAACACACTCGAACCGAACGGTTCGGACGGTTTTCAAAAACCGTTCCTTCCCTAAAATGCATGAAGATGTTATTTCTTCACAAGAAGTTAGTGATATTGTTAAGAAGTTGAAAAATAATACGGCATATAGTGTGGACAAAATATCTACTGAGCACTTAAAATTTGCAAGTAGGAAAATTTTTGTTGGCTATTTGTTTCACCGGGTTTTTAATTCACGGCATTTTACCAAACTCTATTTTGTCTGGGATTTTAGTGCCTATTGTAAAAGATAAGGCTGGTAAAATAAATAGCAAAGACAACTATCGGCCCGTAGCTCTAGCCAGCACCTTATCGAAAGTTTTGCACTGCAAAAAATCTAAATCTTGATAAGTCATTTTTTTCTTAAAATAAGTGCATTTGTTCTTGAATTGAGGAGATAAAAGAGACATCTTGCCAATGGAACAAGACAATTTAGATTTAAAATAAGAAAACACAATTGCATTCTCTTATTTCAAGTGAATACTATCTAATTATCTTATTTTAAGAGTAAAAATACTGATTCCATTAGCAAACTATCTCATTTACCTGCTCAAATCAAGGGTAAATCACTTAATTTAAGAAATGTTTACTTATTTCTAGATCGTTTTTCCAGTGTGGAGAAGGCTCTGTGAAGCAGAATCGAGACGTTTATAGCCACATCTGATAATCAGTTTGGTTTTAAACCAAAACTTAGCACCAATATGTGCCTTTTTGCTCTTAAGGAAATCTTAGATTTATACAACAGACATAATACCACATTTTTTAGTTGTTTTATAGATGCATCAAAAGCATTTGCTAATGTTAATCATGACAAATTGTTTCCTAGATTGCATGAGAGAGGAGTTCCAAATGGGGAAACTCTGTATCATCATCTTCTTTAAATGTTGGTAATGGTGTTCGACAAGGCCGCATTTTATCTCCTGTATATGGATGATTTATCTAACCTGCTGAATATATGCAGGACTGGCTGTCGGGTTGGTAATCGAACCATCAACCACCTGATGTATCATTCTGTCCATATAGTGCTGGTCTGCAGCAACTGTTAAGGGTTTGCTCTCAGTACAGGTTACAGCATGACATTAAATACAATGCAAAAAGAGCAACATCCTGACTGTTAAGAGCAAAGAAGACACTAAATTATCTTTTCCTGACTTCACTCTGTCTGGCAGCATCCTCCAGGTCACTGATGAGGTCAGATATTTGGGACATTACATCACTGCTGACCTGTCTGATGATACAGGCAGCGTTGTACTCAATATGTACAAGCTAATATTCTTCTTCGGAGGTTCTCCATGTGCTCAGCATCTGTCACTTTTTAAAGCATACTGTACTGCAATGTATACAGCCCACCTGTGGCGGCGTTACAGGAAAAGCAGTGTGAATAAACTTCAGGTTGCTTATAACGACGGCATGAGGATGCTGCTAAGGGTGCCCCGATGGTGCAGCGCCAGTCAGATGTTTGTGAATGCTAATGTAGCATCCTGCGCTGCTGTGCTTCCAAACATTCTGCACTGATGTAGATTAACAGACTCTGCAAACAGCATCATTCAGACTCTAATCCTGTTCAAAGCTCAGTGAGATTCTTCTCCAGTTTGTGGAATCATTGGCGCTTCAGTTTATATGTCAGTGATTGATTATTTTATTATATATTTCTTATTTTTATTTTTCTCTTTTTCTATTATTGTTCTTATTTTGTCTGTTTATGGACCATAATTGTGTCTAAATAAAAATATTGATTGATTGATTGATTGATTGATTGATTGATAATGCAAGAAGCTTGGGAAAACATACACTGGAAAAACGATCTAAAAATGAGTAAAACAATTCTTATATTAAAGTGTATTTACACTTAATTTGGTTTAGTAAATGAGGCAGTTTGCCAATGGAATGAGTATTTTTACTCTTTAAAAAAAAATTAGATAAAATGCACTTGAAATAAGACGATGCTATAGTATTTTTATATTTTAAGTGTAAATTGTCTTGTTTCATTGGGAAAATGTCTCTTTTAACTCCTCAATCCAAGAACAAATTCACTTATTTTAAGAAAAAATGACTGATCTAGATTTAGATTTTTTCCAGTGTAGTTAATGTTCATTAGTTAAAAAATCTTGGCTTCTCAGAGGACCATAAGTTACAGGTTAAAATAACACATTTTCTTATTGAACAGACAGAATCAGACTGCAGAGCTTCTACATATCTAGATATTTAGTTTCTAGCATCATTATATCAGTAAATAGGTTCATAAATCTTTTCAAACAGCACAGAGAGAAGCAGGCAGAGCTGCAGATTTAAAGGTGAAACTGATCTACTGGGATATGCAACATGCAATAAAATATATCTCCAAGTTTACCAGAAAGTTTACCAGAAAAAAAAAATGCTATTTTTGAAATGAAGCAAATCCGCATTTTTCTGGAAGAATGATTTGTGCTTCTAGGGATGCATGATTTACCGATGTTGACATCAGAATCAGCTGTTATTCTTTCTTTTTCTATACATTAATGTTTTTGGGCCTATATATTTGTAATGCACTAAATTATATCACTATAACTATACTATAATATAATTATTATATCACTATAACTGTCTATAAATATAAATATATTAAGGTTCTCTTGTGTTCTCAACAATAGGAAAGCATTCAATAAATAAATATTTGAGCTCATTTAGGAAAATATAAAAACCTAATGAAAGCGTTTGGGTGGAGTAACTGTAGGTCCATCAGCCCCCACCCTTAGAGCGCCCCCACCAGCTTTCATCCCAAAGTTACACCCTTGGTTGCAGCCCTATCTTCCTCTGGGATTTTTTCAGAAACGATAGTTAATATTTCAATAAATGTTTTTATTGTGCAGCATCAAATTAAGCCGGTTCTATTAACTACTCCTAAAGCCTTCAGGGTCGGTAGGAACACGCCTTCCATCAGATACAGACAGATAGTCGGATGCTGTCTCTGCAGATGGCGTTTCTTTATCTTTTCATCCTCCAGACAAACGTCCCAACAGAGAGATGATCTCACTGGCTGTAGAATATCCACCAGGGACTAAACCTGTTCACAGATGAGAACAAAACCTCTCTGGTTCTATAAAGACTTCCTAAACATGAAACCTGGTGGTGGCAGCATCATGCTGAGGAGTTTGGTTCTGTGGATGAAATCCAAATATCAGTGGGTTTTACCCTCCAGCATCATAATGAGGCCATCATACCGCCAAAAAAAAAAAAACAGAACAAAGAGGAAAGTCTTTAAATGGCCTAGTCAAAGCCCAGAACTGAACCAGGAGGTAGAATGTCTGCAAAGCAGCCTGGGTAAATTTAGGCGAGTCAGACCAAAGCAGATCAGACCCTGAATCTGGTCTAAAGATTAGTGTCGGGGTTTGAATACTTATGTAACTAAGTTTTGTTTTTTCACGTCAGTTCAGAAATCCTCATCGTCGTCTCATTTTCTTCCATCATTAAACTCAGACGTTTCCGACCCATAAGGCTTCAGAAACGGGAGAGTGACGGGGGGTGCGTACCGTCTGAGCTGATGGCGTCGCAGATGATGTTGACTTCGTTCATGGGAATCTGCCAGTGAGCTTTCTCCTCGGTGAAACTCAGAGCTCTGCTTTCCTGCCGATGGCAGGGATAACTCTGGACCCGCAGGAACGCTGGCCCCTGGGAGCACACGGCACACACAGCGTCAGTAAACACACTCCTGTCGCCATGGAAACCATGGCTCTGGATTTAAAGAAAAAAATAAATATTTCAAGATTATCTGGAAAAAACGTATCAAACTACATCATGGCAAAAAAAATTATGAACGGTTTGAATGAACCTTTCATCAGCTAAAATCAGTTGATTTAGCAGTTGATTTTAGCTAAAATAAGTTGATTTAGCAGTTGATTTTAACTAAAATCAGTTGATTTAGCAGTTGATTTTAACTAAAATCAGTTGATTTAGCAGTTGATTTTAGCTAAGATCAGTTGATTTAGCAGTTGATTTTAGCTAAAATAAGTTCATTTAGCAGTTGATTTTAGCTAAAATAAGTTCATTTAGCAGTTGATTTTAGCTAAGATCAGTTGATTTAGCAGTTGATTTTAGCTAAAATAAGTTCATTTAGCAGTTGATTTTAACTAAAATCAGTTGATTTAGCAGTTGATTTTAGCTAAGATCAGTTGATTTAGCAGTTGATTTTAGCTAAAATAAGTTCATTTAGCAGTTGATTTTAGCTAAAATAAGTTCATTTAGCAGTTGATTTTTTTTAGCTAAAATAAGTTGATTTAGCAGTTGATTTTAGCTAAAATAAGTTGATTTAGCAGTTGATTTTTTTAGCTAAAATAAGTTGATTTAGCAGTTGATTTTAGCTAAAATAAGTTGATTTAGCAGTTGATTTTAACTAAAATAAGTTGATTTAGCAGTTGATTTTAGCTAAGATCAGTTGATTTAGCAATTGATTTTAGCTAAGATCAGTTGATTTAGCAGTTGATTTTAGCTAAAATAAGTTGATTTAGCAGTTGATTTTAACTAAAATCAGTTGATTTAGCAGTTGATTTTAACTAAAATCAGTTGATTTAGCAGTTGATTTTAGCTAAGATCAGTTGATTTAGCAGTTGATTTTAGCTAAAATAAGTTGATTTAGCAGTTGATTTTAGCTAAGATCAGTTGATTTAAGGTTGATTTTAGCTAAAATAAGTTGATTTAGCAGTTGATTTTAACTAAAATCAGTTGATTTAGCAGTTGATTTTAGCTAAGATCAGTGGATTTAAGGTTGATTTTAGCTAAAATCAGTTGATTTAGCAGTTGATTTTTTTTAGCTAAAATAAGTTGATTTAACAGTTGAGTTTAGGTAAGATCAGCTGATTTAACAGTTGATTTTTTTAGCTAAGATCAGTTAGTTTAACTGTTGATTTTAACTAAAATCAGTTGATTTAGCTCTTCCATCAATGTTTCTGGTGTTAAAAGGATTCTGGGGGAGTCAGAGAGGAGATGTCGGCGATGTTGATGTTTTTTCAGAGTTTCATAAACAGACGGGATGAGCGCACCCGGCAGGAGAGAGAAAACCACAGAGTGGCTATAAGAAAGTCCAGGGAATATCTCTAAAATTGAATGTTTGAGGAGGTCAAACGCTTCATTTCTGTCTCTTTTACCTCCACAATTCAAGAACAAATGTACTTATTTGAAGAAAAAAAGGCTTATCTGTTTTGCAATGCATTTTATCTTGAATTGAGGAGGTAAAAAAGACACTTTGGTGATGGAACAAGACAATTTAGATTCAAAATAAGAGAACACAATTGCATTGTCTTATTTCAAGTACATTTTATCTAATTATCTTATTTGAAGAGTAAAAATACTCACTCAATTGGCAATCTATATCATTTACCTACTCAACTTAAGGGTAAATACACTTAATTTAAGAAATATTTACTTATTTCTAGATCGTTTCTCCAGTGTGGTTTCCCTGGTTCCCCAGTTTCTAAGGATTGGATTTATTTAGGGGTATCAGAGGAAAGGAGGAGGAGTTCCCTTTTCTTACATCTGACCAAAAGTTCCTGAGAAAATTAAAACAAATGAGTTGTTTTTTTGTCATCGTAGAAAATATGAATCAATTCAAAGAGCAGTAGGGGGAGTGGTGGCCTAGTTGTTAGGACATAGGCCACATGATGGCAGCCCACTGCACCCCATGGGGATGGGTTACATGCAGAGAGGACATTTCGTTGCTCTGTACTTGTGAAAGTGGAACTCTGCAGAATCTGTTAGTTCAATCTCTAACGTTCTGCTCTCTCTGCTTTTTCTCATAGTAGCTTCATCTGGTCTGTTCCTGTTTGGCTGTGACTCCATCCTGGAGAGAAATATCAGCTGTGCTGCTGCCATCAACACCTTTGTTTCTAGATGTTGGAGCTTGGCCTGTTTTCCAGTGTAGTCCTGTTTCTCTGACTGTGACTAACTGGATGTGCTCTCTTCATCCTCTGACATGGGAGCTGGCTCGGAGCTCGTCTGCCTGGCTGTGTGTTTCCTGGACGGGGCCGCCTGTGGAGCTGGTTGACAGTTGCCTTTTGTATCTATGCTTCTTTTTCTATGTCTGCTTCTGTCTCCTTGAACCCCAGTGGGCCTCAGCAGATGGCCGCTCACACTGAGCCTGGTTCTGCTAGAGGTTGAACTGAACTGGATTAATGACAATAAAGCTGAATTCTATTCTATTCTATTGAAGGAACAGATGTTTGATGAATTATTTCTAAAAGAAGCCTTCATTTCTCCGTGTGCTTGGTTTATACCTTAACGTCTACTGCGCGTGTCTCAGTGGGACAGAGCAGTTTACGGCGAGCGTTGCCACCTTGGTTTAAGGTCCAGTATCCCGTCATCCTGACCTCCGGCAGCGGTAACCTAGAGACAACAAACCCATGAAACTGGAAACACACACAAATAAATCATTTCCAGGGATCAACACAAACAGATCATCCCTTTTTTTTTATCTGAGTTAATTATGGTTAGAACTGCTTTTATTGCCCACATAAATGAAAACCAAGTTCTGGCCTTCAGGGGCTCCGATGGGCAGCGGCACCAGGAGACAAACGCTGCGTCTCTGGGGAGGGGTCATGGATCACAGCTACGGGCTGCAGGTGGGCTGGAAGATGCAGCCTGATCACAAAACGCTCACATTCCCCAGATTGGAGGGGCAAAGATGATCCTACGACTATAAATAAATCTATGAATAGAAACGCAGCAGATGAGCTGCTTCATGTTTTCATGTCCAAAATTGGAAGTCAGGATGCCAAATATTTGCTTTCACGTCCAAACGATGCGAGTGACACTGCCGCTGTGAGATAAACGCTTCAAGATGGAGCAATAAAGCGTTAAAACACCAGCAAACAGCCACAGCTGGAGGAAAATACTGGTTTCTGCTCTGCTCACTGCTTCTTTTCTTTGGAAAAGGACAAAACTGAAGGTGGATTTTAGATAAATACAAATAAAACCACAGGAGACAGAGGAAACAAGTATTTTCCTTTATTCAAAGAACAGTCTGTACATTATTGGAGACAGTTTGGTGAAAGGAGACGTTGTATGATGGTGAGAAATAACTGCGGTATGTGAAGGATGGAGACCTTTAACACTTCATGGAAGCAATTAGCGCAGCAATAGCTTTCAGACGTCTCAGAGGCTCAGATAAAGAAATGGGATTCAGCCTCGACTGTTTTCTGACCATCAAACACCAAACCTGAAGCTCACCTGGACGGACTGTCGCCTAAACTAAACCTTAGCTTTAACCAGGACAGCTTTAACCAGGACAGCTTTAACCAGGACAGCTTTAACCAGTGCTGATGCTCCACAGCGCCTCCGTATGGAGGGATCTATTGTTGCTGCGAGCAAACAACACATTTAATCAACTAAAGTTAATAAAAGCTAAAATCCAGACATGAAACTTTAAAAAAAGGCTATATTTAAAACAAGTAACTGCTGTTTTCCTTGATTTAAAAAAAAATATTTCTGTCGTATTGTTTTTCTTTAAATGATTTTAAAAATATTTTAAACAGATTTTTTTGTTTTCATTAATTTTTCTGATTTCTGCTTTAAGAACTGCCTTCTTTTCAAAATAAGCTTCACTTTTAGCCAAATCCAGCCAGTCGCTCTGAACCAATGAAAAGCTTCCTAACGTCCAGCAAACCAATAGAAATGCTTCTTCATTCCTCACTACAGAGGAAAGCCACGCCCCCACAAGAGATCATCCATCCATCCATCATCCATCCATCCATCATCCATCCATCCATCCATCATCCATCCATCCATCATCCATCCATCCATCATCCATCATCCATCATCCATCCATCCATCCATCATCCATCCATCCATCATCCATCCATCCACCCATCCATCCATCCATCCATCCATCCATCATCCATCCATCCATCCATCATCCATCCATCATCCATCCATCCATCATCCATCCATCATCCATCCATCCATCCATCCATCCATCCATCCATCATCCATCCATCCATCCATCCATCCATCATCCATCCATCATCCATCCATCCATCCATCCATCCATCATCCATCCATCCATCATCCATCCATCCATCATCCATCCATCCATCCATCATCCATCCATCCATCCATCCATCCATCATCCATCCATCCATCATCCATCCATCCATCATCCATCCATCCATCCATCATCCATCCATCCATCATCCATCCATCCATCATCCATCATCCATCATCCATCCATCCATCATCCATCCATCCATCCATCCATCCATCCATCCATCATCCATCCATCCATCATCCATCCATCCATCATCCATCCATCCATCATCCATCCATCCATCATCCATCATCCATCATCCATCCATCCACCCATCCATCCATCCATCCATCCATCATCCATCCATCCATCCATCCATCATCCATCCATCATCCATCCATCCATCATCCATCCATCATCCATCATCCATCCATCCATCATCCATCCATCCATCCATCCATCATCCATCCATCCATCATCCATCCATCATCCATCCATCATCCATCCATCCATCCATCATCCATCCATCCATCATCCATCCATCCATCCATCCATCCATCATCCATCCATCCATCCATCCATCCATCCATCATCCATCCATCCATCCATCCATCCATCCATCATCCATCCATCATCCATCCATCCATCCATCCATCATCCATCCATCATCCATTCCATCCATCATCCATCCATCCATCCATCCATCCATCCATCATCCATCCATCCATCCATCCATCCATCATCCATCCATCATCCATCCATCCATCCATCATCCATCCATCCATCCATCCATCCATCCATCCATCCATCATCCATCCATCCATCATCCATCCATCATCCATCATCCATCATCCATCCATCCATCATCCATCCATCCATCATCCATCCATCATCCATCCATCATCCATCCATCCATCCATCCATCCATCCATCCATCCATCATCCATCCATCCATCCATCCATCCATCATCCATCCATCCATCCATCCATCCATCATCCATCCATCCATCATCCATCCATCCATCATCCATCCATCCATCCATCCATCCATCATCCATCATCCATCCATCCATCATCCATCCATCCATCCATCCATCCATCATCCATCCATCCATCATCCATCCATCCATCCATCCATCCATCATCCATCCATCATCCATCCATCCATCCATCCATCCATCCATCCATCCATCCATCCATCCATCCATCCATCATCCATCCATCATCCATCCATCCATCCATCCATCCATCATCCATCCATCCATCCATCCATCATCCATCCATCCATCCATCCATCATCCATCCATCCATCCATCCATCCATCCATCCATCCATCCATCATCCATCCATCCATCCATCCATCCATCCATCCATCCATCATCCATCCATCCATCATCCATCCATCCATCATCCATCCATCCATCCATCCATCCATCCATCATCCATCCATCCATCATCCATCATCCATCCATCCATCCATCCATCCATCATCCATCCATCCATCCATCCATCCATCATCCATCCATCCATCCATCCATCATCCATCCATCCATCCATCCATCATCCATCCATCCATCCATCCATCATCCATCCATCCATCCATCCATCCATCCATCCATCCATCCTCCATCCATCTTTTTCTCCCTCTTATTCCATCAGGAGATAAATGTGAATGTATTAAAACTCAAACATTGAAACTAAATCTGAGAAACAGCAGTTATTCATAAAACCTGTTTTTGAATAAAACATTTTGCAGTTTTCTTTCTGAATTTACATTTTTTCAAATTTACGTTATTTATTCTTTACTCTGAAATCTTGATCTAATCAATCTTTCAGACTGAGCTACACGTCTTAGGTCAAGGCTAACTCTGGGTTTAGCTTTTTGAGGTTCAGAATGAACTTTATATTTGATCAGCACCTTCCTGTCCTCAGCTGGGATTTAATAATCAAGAGGAATTAGCAGCAACAAACAGGAAGATGTTAGCAATGGCCGCCTCCACAGAAACACATGCTCCCTACATTTACCTCCTTATGGGGGCGTGGCTTCGCGTTGCCACCAGCGCAGAGCTGCAATCTGGAATATTCTGAGGTTATTTTTTATTGTTTTGGACATCTGCGAACAGATTAACGATTACATGAGGCTTTATCACGCCGCTGGAGCTGACCAATCAGAACACAGGGGGCATAAACAGCCTCCTAGCAGAGTCATCAACTCTGGGATTTAACTCTGAGGGCTATGCTCCCAGTTTCCCCATAACATCAAACTGCTAAAGCTCCTATCCGTGATGCTCTTACTCCTTAGCCAGATGGACCGAGGTTGGCTTGGCCCCGATGGGGATTCCATGCTTGTGCAGAGCCTCGATCAAAACCTCCCGCGTGTCCTTATTGTACGAGTCGAAGTCGAAGACGTTCCTCACCACGTTGGCAAGACCCTCGTTGGGAAACCTCTGATGAGAGAGCAAAGACTAAATTAATCCAAAGAGCTTTCTTTGTTCCTGTGGGGAAATTTCAAAAAGAGAGAGCAGCAAGAAAAAGTCACATAAAGTTCAACAACGACAGAAAAAAACCCAAAATAAATTTCATGTGGACTTTCCACCAGATCAGGGGTCGGCAACACAAACTGAGCCATATTGGACCAAACAAAAAAAACAAACAAATTTGTCTGGTGCAGCTAAAATGTAAAAGTCTTCTCTAAGCCTCATATGGCAGTGTATTAGCTAATTATAGAAAAAGACTATATGGGCTTAAATATATAATAAGTATTTATTATTAAATGTTCATCCTGGAGCAAATGTCACATCATGAGGTGAAGGAGGAGCGGTGCCACTTCACCACAAGCTGCTTAACTGCCATTCATCGCACAGTTCAAGTTTTGTTGCATCGGAGAAATGATAGAAACACAATAAAGGAATATTTCTATGGTGGAACGTGTTTCTGTTGGGAGGAGCTGATGGAGGAACCAAGCAGGAACTGACATCCATCAGAGCAGAGCTCTCTAAGCATGAAATCCCACATCCTCCGTCACCAGCGTTCCTTGATACTTTTATTTTGAGGATTCTTTAGTAAAAAATGTTAGAAAGTTCCCATCCCTGCATCAGAGCGCTACCTGCTGGATCTATGAACGGTTTTCTATGCTTGAACCAAACTAGCAGCAGTAGTGGAGTTTGGAGATGCAATCTACTTCTTAAATACATCTTTACTCTCCTCTAACTTATGCAAACGCTCTTTTTCTCTCCCTCCCAGCTCGGTGGGGGGCTGCAGATTTAGCCTTCCCTGGAAATGTCTTTCCTAATGACTCTTTTTATTATTTGCCAGCTTCTCCTTCCATGCAGGCAATCCTTCCTCATTGGTAATGAAAGCAAATAATGATTCGCTCCATTCTTCTTTGAATCCTCTTTTCTCATCAGCTATCTTCCTTTTCCCTTTGGAATCCATGGAGACCCCCCCCACCCGCTTTGTTTACAGCAGCCACCTGCCTGGCACCGCGCCGCGCTGAAACCTGCTGCAGGATATGACGCAAATCTTCCTCAGCAGAAATGCTAAAATTCATTGTTTAAATTTATTTATTATACACATTTTACAGCATTGGAAACAAACAAAATAAATAAACAAATTTTCATACATTTTTCAAAAAGCTCCAGGGAGCCGCAAGAGGGACACTAAAGAAGATCCACATGCAGGTCTGGAGCTACGGGTTGCCGACCCCTGCACTGGATGTTTGCTGGAAAAAGCATCGGTGGTGCATTTATTTCCCCTTAACTAAAGGTTACAGAGAGAAATGGAACATTTTGGCAGCAATGCAGTCAAATCTAAAAGGAAAGGTTAGAAATAGGATTTACTTTCAACCCACTCCATCTACACGCTAACATCAGCACTCTATGGGAACAATCATCCTTAGCCATTTTTATTTTTGCTGTTTTCTTTGATTTGAAGACAATTATATCTGAAATTTGTGTTTTTCTGACATTCATTCAGGCTGAGAGAGAGATGAACAGGAACGGTGAACAAACCGCTTTGTTTCAGCCTCCGCCATCATCGAGCTTCCTGGATTTATTAAACTGAGACTTAAGTTTAAAGAAAGTTTAGTTTGATGACATCAGACTGTTTTTTTTTAATCATTGATTGAAAATGAAAGGCATGTCTGGAGAAGCTCCAAATATAACACAACACCAACTGTCAAGCACGGTAGTGGGAGTGTCATGGGATGGGGCGGAGCCTTTCTTGTTGGCAGTGGTACAGTGGACAGAAAAAATAAAGAGGTTCTCATTTCAACAGCGAACTTCTGGGATTCTCGCTCCAGGATGAAAATCGGTTATTGGCTTTCAGGCCACGCCCCCTGCAGATTCATATAAACTGCTGACCATTGGGTTCAGAACATCCAGACAGAAGGCCTGCTGTACATACAGTGGAGGCAGACTGTATTTATGACTAGACAGGAGAAACTGCAATAAATCAAAACTTGGGGAATTGATCCTTGTTTCTCCAAACATTGATCTAAAAAGTAAACATTTTCTAAAATTAGTTTATTTGCTTCTACATTGAACAGATAAATACGATTATCTCCAGATTGTTTTGCCTTTAATCCAAAGGTTTTAATAAACTATTAAAAGTCCAACATCAATCATTTGAGTATCAAAGTGGACTCAATCAGGTAGACTCTGCCATCTTGATCTGACGTTGGGGTCAAAGGTAAAGATCTGATGATCCACCCTGACTGGCAGAAATGTCTCCTCTATCATCCTGGTCCCAGTCAGCTGAACCTGAACGTCTACAGACCATCGCTTAAGTCTTCCTGCTGCTCCACTGGGATCGTTACGCTAAAAGGTGAAGCGGTGAGGAGAACACTTCCACTCGCTCTAAATCACGCCCTCGCCGTTCCTCGCGGCTCCAGCTGATGTCAATAATGGGGCTGATGGACGATGGAACCAGTGGGAACATCAAACCAAAACGTGTGTCTCTGTGGGATGGGTCAGTGATATTCGGTGGTGGAAGATAGAAATAGAAGAGGTAGATTAGGGTGGATGTCTGCTGCTCTAAATGTGTTGCTCAGCGGATCGGTGTTTAGGTTCGATTTGTCGCCATGTTTATAGCTTCGGTGAAAAGAGGGAGCAGGATAGGCTGCATCTGAATGAAGGATGTCTGCAGGATGGAGGATCTCTGCAGGATGGAGGATCTCTGCAGGATGGAGGATCTCTGCAGGATGGAGGATCTCTGCAGAATGGAGGATCTCTGCAGAATGGAGGATCTCTGCAGAATGGAGGATCTCTGCAGAATAGAGGATCTCTGCAGGATGGAGGATCTCTGCAGGATGGAGGATCTCTGCAGAATGAAGGATCTCTGCAGGATGGAGGATCTCTGCAGAATGGAGGATCTCTGCAGAATGAAGGATCTCTGCAGGATGGAGGATCTCTGCAGGATGGAGGATCTCTGCAGGATGGAGGATCTCTGCAGGATGGAGGATCTCTGCAGAATGAAGGATCTCTGCAGGATGGAGGATCTCTGCAGGATGGAGGATCTCTGCAGGATGGAGGATCTCTGCAGGATGGAGGATCTCTGCAGGATGGAGGATCTCTGCAGAATAGAGGATCTCTGCAGGATGGAGGATCTCTGCAGAATGGAGGATCTCTGCAGGATGGAGGATCTCTGCAGGATGGAGGATCTCTGCAGGATGGAGGATCTCTGCAGAATAGAGGATCTCTGCAGGATGGAGGATCTCTGCAGGATGGAGGATCTCTGCAGGATGGAGGATCTCTGCAGAATGGAGGATCTCTGCAGGATGGAGGATCTCTGCAGGATGGAGGATCTCTGCAGGATGGAGGATCTCTGCAGGATGGAGGATCTCTGCAGGATGGAGGATCTCTGCAGGATGGAGGATCTCTGCAGAATAGAGGATCTCTGCAGGATGGAGGATCTCTGCAGGATGGAGGATCTCTGCAGAATAGAGGATCTCTGCAGGATGGAGGATCTCTGCAGAATAGAGGATCTCTGCAGGATGGATGATCTCTGCAGAATGAAGGATCTCTGCAGGATGGAGGATCTCTGCAGGATGGAGGATCTCTGCAGGATGGAGGATCTCTGCAGGATGGAGGATCTCTGCAGGATGGAGGATCTCTGCAGAATAGAGGATCTCTGCAGAATAGAGGATCTCTGCAGGATGGAGGATCTCTGCAGGATGGAGGATCTCTGCAGAATGGAGGATCTCTGCAGAATAGAGGATCTCTGCAGGATGGAGGATCTCTGCAGAATAGAGGATCTCTGCAGATGGAGGATCTCTGCAGGATGGAGGATCTCTGCAGATGGAGGATCTCTGCAGGATGGAGGATCTCTGCAGAATAGAGGATCTCTGCAGGATGGAGGATCTCTGCAGAATAGGAGGATCTCTGCAGGATGGAGGATCTCTGCAGATAGAGGATCTCTGCAGATGGAGGATCTCTGCAGGATGGAGGATCTCTGCAGGATGGAGGATCTCTGCAGGATGGAGGATCTCTGCAGAATAGAGGATCTCTGCAGGATGGAGGATCTCTGCAGGATGGAGGATCTCTGCAGGATGGAGGATCTCTGCAGAATGGAGGATCTCTGCAGGATGGAGGATCTCTGCAGGATGGAGGATCTCTGCAGGATGGAGGATCTCTGCAGGATAGAGGATCTCTGCAGATGGAGGATCTCTGCAGGATGGAGGATCTCTGCAGAATGGAGGATCTCTGCAGGATGGAGGATCTCTGCAGAATAGAGGATCTCTGCAGAATGGAGGATCTCTGCAGAATGGAGGATCTCTGCAGGATGGAGGATCTCTGCAGGATGGAGGATCTCTGCAGGATGGAGGATCTCTGCAGGATGGAGGATCTCTGCAGAATGGAGGATCTCTGCAGGATGGAGGATCTCTGCAGAATAGAGGATCTCTGCAGGATGGAGGATCTCTGCAGAATGGAGGATCTCTGCAGGATGGAGGATCTCTGCAGAATAGAGGATCTCTGCAGAATGGAGGATCTCTGCAGGATGGAGGATCTCTGCAGGATGGAGGATCTCTGCAGGATGGAGGATCTCTGCAGAATGGAGGATCTCTGCAGGATGGAGGATCTCTGCAGAATGGAGGATCTCTGCAGGATGGAGGATCTCTGCAGGATGGAGGATCTCTGCAGGATGGAGGATCTCTGCAGGATGGAGGATCTCTGCAGAATGGAGGATCTCTGCAGATGGAGGATCTCTGCAGAATAGAGGATCTCTGCAGAATGGAGGATCTCTGCAGGATGGAGGATCTCTGCAGGATGGAGGATCTCTGCAGGATGGAGGATCTCTGCAGAATGGAGGATCTCTGCAGAATGGAGGATCTCTGCAGGATGGAGGATCTCTGCAGGATGGAGGATCTCTGCAGGATGGAGGATCTCTGCAGAATAGAGGATCTCTGCAGAATGGAGGATCTCTGCAGAATGGAGGATCTCTGCAGAATGGAGGATCTCTGCAGGATGGAGGATCTCTTGCAGGATGGAGGATCTCTGCAGAATGGAGGATCTCTGCAGGATGGAGGATCTCTGCAGGATGGAGGATCTCTGCAGAATAGAGGATCTCTGCAGGATGGAGGATCTCTGCAGGATGGAGGATCTCTGCAGAATGGAGGATCTCTGCAGGATGGAGGATCTCTGCAGAATGAAGGATCTCTGCAGGAATGGAGGATCTCTGGCAGGATGGAGGATCTCTGCAGGATGGAGGATCTCTGCAGGATGGAGGATCTCTGCAGAATGAGGATCTCTGCAGGATGGAGGATCTGCAGATGGAGGATCTCTGCAGAATGGAGGATCTCTGCAGGAATGGAGGATCTCTGCAGAATGAAGGATCTCTGCAGGATGGAGGATCTCTGCAGGATGGAGGATCTCTGCAGGATGGAGGATCTCTGCAGGATGGAGGATCTCTGCAGAATGGAGGATCTCTGCAGGATGGAGGATCTCTGCAGGATGGAGGATCTCTGCAGGATGGAGGATCTCTGCAGGATGGAGGATCTCTGCAGGATGGAGGATCTCTGCAGGATGGAGGATCTCTGCAGAATGGAGGATCTCTGCAGGATGGAGGATCTCTGCAGGATGGAGGATCTCTGCAGGATGGAGGATCTCTGCAGGATGGAGGATCTCTGCAGGATGGAGGATCTCTGCAGGATGGAGGATTTCTGCAGGATGGTGGATCTCTGCAGGATGGAGGATCTCTGCAGAATAGAGGATCTCTGCAGAATGGAGGATCTCTGCAGAATAGAGGATCTCTGCAGAATAGAGGATCTCTGCAGAATGGAGGATCTCTGCAGAATGGAGGATCTCTGCAGAATGGAGGATCTCTGCAGGATGGAGGATCTCTGCAGGATGGAGGATCTCTGCAGGATGGAGGATCTCTGCAGGATGGAGGATTTCTGCAGGATGGTGGATCTCTGCAGGATGGAGGATCTCTGCAGAATAGAGGATCTCTGCAGGATGGAGGATCTCTGCAGAATGGAGGATCTCTGCAGAATGGAGGATCTCTGCAGGATGGAGGATCTCTGCAGGATGGAGGATCTCTGCAGGATGGAGGATCTCTGCAGGATGGAGGATCTCTGCAGGATGGAGGATCTCTGCAGGATGGAGGATCTCTGCAGAATGGAGGATCTCTGCAGAATGGAGGATCTCTGCAGGATGGAGGATCTCTGCAGGATGGAGGATCTCTGCAGGATGGAGGATCTCTGCAGGATGGAGGATCTCTGCAGGATGGAGGATCTCTGCAGGATGGAGGATCTCTGCAGGATGGAGGATTTCTGCAGGATGGTGGATCTCTGCAGGATGGAGGATCTCTGCAGGATGGAGGATCTCTGCAGGATGGAGGATCTCTGCAGAATGGAGGATCTCTGCAGGATGGAGGCCTCCTCTCAGAGGAAGCCTTCGATCACCAGGACGGTGTGAAACTTTGACTTCACGCCTTATTGTGTAACGGGATGCTTTTAGTGCATGAAGGTTTTTCTAAGTGTGAACAGAGGAGGCACTAAAGGAGGCGTTGTTCTGTCAGCTTGGCATCAGGCCAGCATACCCTTAGTTATACACATGCATGCATGGTCGTTATTAGCGGTTATCAGTCCCATAGAATGGCTTCAGGTTGCGCCAGTAGGCTCAGCAGGCTGTTATCGCCGAATTGATCCTTTTTTCCGCTCCGTGGAATTTATTAATGTTGTTAAATGTAATCTAAAAATAATTTCAGTAGTTCTTCATGAACTCTAAATATAAATAAATAAAAAATGATCTGCATCTCGCTCAATAAAACTCATACCCTGTGAACTAGGTTGTAGAATCCTTTCCCTATAAATATTTCATTATCTGTGAAAAAATGCAGACAGTTCTTTAATAAAATCCTCGTCAAACGAACATGCAATGTTTGTTTTTAAAAAACAAATGTGTGTGATGGACCTTTTTTGTTGTTTTATGCACAAAACTACGACAAAAACCTGACTCTATTGGGAAATAAAACAGTGTGATTGGCTGTAAGGAGAGCGGAGAAAGAGGACAGTCTATGTAATGCGTATTACTGAGGGTATGATGGTCTGACGCGGTATGCTGAGCTGACAGAGCAGCGGCTCTCTGAGTGATTAAAGCCTCCAGCGCTGAGGGGCTACAGGCGGACAGTCTGACACCTACATACCTGCAGGTGTCTAACAATGTTGACCACCTCCCGGGTGGAGTAGGGGTAGGTGATGGTGCCCTGGTCAGCCATGGACCGCAGCTCTCCGAAGGCGGCCACCAGTTTCTGCAGAGTGGCTTCTGGGACGTCGGGGCCGTACTGTCTGAGCATGGCCAGCTCCGCCTGGGGCTTGGGGTTGTCCACGGCGTGGCAGCTGAAGATATCACCTGTTGGTGCACAGAACAGTTCCCTACTTTTATCTACAGAATCACCTGTTTAAAAAAAAACATTCATGGGTTTCCCAGCAGAGGATCAAACCTCCTGGCTCTAACAGCTGCTTCACCGTATAACACCTTCTGTCATCCAACAAGCTTCTGACGTATGAAATGGTTCCAAAAACCAGGGAAAATTTTAAAGAGATTAATACTGTGATGACCAAAGCATGAACCGATGAGTCGTCCAGAAGCCGAAACCTCTTCCCATCCTTTTAAAAATCAGCTCAACATCAGACAGACTGGATGGAAATCGTCCATTTTTTACCACCGAGTACTTAGTCAGGACCAGAGGACTTAAAACTATGTTTATTGCTCTGGTAGAAGCATAAATCCTACTGTTTAAAAACACTTTTTACTCCAGGAAAAGGAAATATGGCGACAGCAGGTGTTTCAGCTGAGCGATATAAGGCAGCAGTTTGGATTTCACGCCGAGGACGTCGAAGAAGAGGCGCCGATTTGTAAGAAAACCGTTTCTGCAAACGATAGCAGCACAAATTTATTCCACCACCTAAGAAGTCATCCGCTGCAAAGTGAATAATGTGGTAGACTCCGCATGTCAGCGTCTCCCCGCACACCAATCAAAAAGTTAAATAAACCAGCTGTGAAGCCGATGGCGTTGACCTCTTCGTCTGAAAAAGCGATCCCATATGAGAGAAAAAAGGAAGAGATGGATGTCATAATCTTGCTGTGATGGTTGGCTTAATTATTCATTCCATTCACCTGTCCAACTCTGCCCGGTTTCTCATCACTGCTCATCTGATCCACCTGCTCCTACTTCTGTTTAGGGTTCCTGCATCCAGTCATCAGGGCCACATTATTTTATTCTCTCTAGCCAGTGGGGAGTGTTTCTGATTTCCTGATCCTGACCTATTCTGCCTCTCAACCACTGAGCCGGCCTGTTCCTGTTCTGATCTGTTTGCCTGACCAGGCTTCGGACTCCTGCATGATCTCCAGGGCTGCAGCATCTGGGACACTCTGCTGCATCTTGTAGGCAGCCCACCGGCTGGATCCTACCTCGTTCTCAGGACACAGGCTGAACTGTTTAACCAGGTTAGTGACTCACACCTTCATATCATCCTCCTTTAGATGTGGTCACTAAACAGTGTTTCCTTTTATAGTTTCCTGTGATAGATGCCTTAGCCGCTGCTACTCCGACTGAACTATCCCACTGTTGGTCTGCCTCGAATACGTGGTCCTTTGTTCTGAGTCATGGCAACGGAGGGAAATCAGACGCTATTGGAATGTTTTAAAGATGCTGTAACACCAGTGATGTGATGCGGTCTTGTTCAGGGGTTTTAGAGGCGTTTTCTAAACTTGGCAAAGAACCATTTTAGAAAATACTTAAAGTATAAAATAAAAGTAATGCAGGAAAAACTGTTAAGGCCAGAAGTTTTACTGCTCTACAATTCTGGATGATAACTTCCTTAGACTTTATTTTCTTAGTTTTATAACTAACGGTAACAGCGCCACATATAACTTTACATCATCTGGAAAAACGATTTGTTTTGGTTTGTGGTGAGCAACAAGTTGGGGCAGCACCGAGTCCAACCACAAAGAAATAAATTGTCTGGATTAAACAAATTATTTTGATGGTTTTTATATTTTTTAAATACCAACAGGCCAGAATGAAAATGAGCTTAAATGAAAGAAAACTAACGAGTCTATTTTAGAAAAAGAGAGTAGAATAGAAAATAAGAGTCAATAATTTCTACTTCAGTAAGGTAATCAAGTATTTGTTCTTTGATCCTTGACGCCTCTGGACAGGACACAGATACAGCACCTGCGTTCGAACGTTCAGTTTGTTCATTTCATTGCGTCTTCATTGATGTTTTTTTTTTTTTTTTAGATTTATTTTCTTTGAAGGAAAAATGAAAAAAAAAAAAAAAAACCCAAAGAATATTAAAAATATGGAGCTGGTGTCTACAGTAGTAGACATTCAAAATGTCCCCATTTTCCTCGGCTGGTCTCCTTCAATTGCTTTTTAAACATCAATTTTTGTACTAAAATATTCTTTCTGTCATGATTTGTGGACATTAAGATCTAAAGAGAAGCGCCATCTCCTGGTCAGACCCTGTAATTGAATGAAAGGGTGGAGTTAGAGTAAAAACTATGCAGGTCTATGAAAAGGCCAGTGGCTGGAAGATGGAGGGGATTCTGCTGGGAGTTGGAGGGAAGTGGGCGGCCATTCGGCTGGCTTTCTACTGGGAATGGCCATTTTGAATGGCTGCTACTGTAAATGGACTGCCAGGTTTGCTTTAGCATCAGTGAAGGAGGGACCTTACGACTGAACCTGTGGTATAGCGGCTTGGTTTATGAATGTCTGGATACCTAGCGCTCCGAAAAAGTCATTCCCCAGGAAGGGAAAGCCCGGTCGGTTGGCCAGGACCAGCATCCTGAAGTCTGGGTGCATCACGATGATGTTGGGCCTCCCCTTGGCTTCAAGTGGATCTGGATTCAAAAGGAAAGATTTGAATGAATAAAAGAAGAACAGGAGCAAATCCCATAAGTGTACTGATCGCATTCTGGTCTCTGTTAGCCTCCGACTGCGTAGAGAAACATCTCAGGACGTCTGAGGTTCGATTTTCTCTCTCTAGCAGAACAAGATTAGCAGCTTTACGACTTTATACGAGATAAATGTGTTTATTTATTTTATTAGGAAACAAACATTTCTAGACTCTTTTCTAGACTGTGAGATCAGGACCGGCTGCCGTCTGTCTGCAGTGAGGGTACGCACCGGAGACGATCCGCCGCCCGTCAGCCAGGATCATCTCGCCGCTCTCCACCAGTGTTTTAAGGATGCAGGTGACGTTGGTGGGAGCTTTGTCGGCCTCGTCGATCACGAGGATGTGACCGTGCCTCACCGCCTTCACCTGTGAACGAGCGTCAGGTCAGACACGCCTGTGTAGGTCAGGCGGTTCACCGCAGAGTTTAATAAACGGGATTCTTAAACGGACCAGAGGCGAGTCCTCGTACGTAATGATGCCGTCCCGCACAGAGGGCTGCAAGGTCAAGGTCTGCACCGTCGTGTCCCTGGAGGAGGAAGGAAGCAGTGTTACCATGGAAACAGCATGCAGGTTCAGGTTTAAAGGTGTTTAAAAACATAAAGACAAGGAAAACATAGAAAACATGTTCATCAGAGGCGTCTGCTGGGATCATAGGATCATAATGATGATGAGAGATCCTTGAGCTTGACTTTAAACCATCTGCATCTATTTCACTGAGTTTTTTTTTTTTCAAACACTCTTTGAATGCGTCATAAACCCTTCCTCCAACTAGGAATATTTTCTCGCACACTACAGCAACCGGCAAACGAAATATGGCGACAGCAGGTGTTTCGGCTGAGCGATATAAGGCGGCGGTTTGGATTTTACGCCGAGGACGTCAAAGAAAAGGCGCTGATTTGTAAGAAAACCATTTCTGCAAACGGTAAGAAGTCATCCGCTGCAAAGTGAATAATGTGGTAGACTCCGCATGTCAGCGTCTCCCCGCACACCAATCAAAACGTTAAATAAACCAGCTGTGGAGCCGAAGGCGCTGACCTCGTCGTTTGAAAAAGCGATCCCATATGAGAGAAAAAGGAAGAGATGGATGTCATAATCTTGCTGTGATGGTTGACTTAATTATTCATTCCATTCACCTGTCCAACTCTGCCCGGTTTCTCATCACTGCTCATCTGATCCACCTGCTCCTACCTCTATTTAAGGTGCCTGCATCCAGTCATCAGGGCCAGATTATTTTATTCTCTCCGGCCAGTGGGGAGTGTGTTTCTGATTTCCTGATCCTGACCTATTCTGCCTCTCAACCACTGAGCCGGCCTGTTCCTGTTCTGATCTGTTTGCCTGACCTGCCTTCGGACTCCTGCATGGGGCTGCAGCATCTGAGACACTCTGCTGCATCTTGTAGGCAGCCCACCGGCTGGATCCTACCTCGTTCTCAGGACACAGGCTGAACTGTTAAACCAGGTTAGTGACTCACACCTTCATATCATCCTCCTTTAGATTTACGCGGTCACTAACCTTTTGCAGAGTTTCCTGTGATACACGGTAGCGTCTATGCATTTATGTTTTTGGATTTTTGCTTCGCACTGGAAAAAATCAAAATCTAGACAAGTCAAGTTCTTTTGTTCTTGAATTGAGGAGGCAAGTGAGACACGTTGCCAATGGAATAAGACAATTTACATTTAAAATAAGAAAACACATTTGCATTGTCAAGACATTTTTGCTAATTTTTAGATAGTTTTTCCAGTGCGGTTACCTTTTTTTGTTATTAAATCTGCAAGAAACCACCTTCAGCTTCAGTGCATTTTGGTCTTTAAACTTCCACTCAACTTGACAGTAGAAGCAAAAAAACGCACAAAAACTGAGAACTGGGAATTCAACTGGAAAAAATCTAAATCTAGATAAGTAATTTTTTCTTAAAAGTTCTTGGATTGGGGAGGTAAAAGAGACACTTTGTCAATGGAACATGACAATTTACACTTAAAATAAGAAAACACAATTACGTTGTCTTATTTTAAGTGAATATCATTCAAGTATCTTAAGAGTAAGAACACTCATTCCATTGGCAAATTCATTTACCTACTTAAATTAAGGGTAAAAAGACTTAATTTTTACTTATGTCTAGATCTTTTTTCCAGTGCAAGGGGGCAAATAAACTATAATAAACCAGCAACAGTGACTGAGCAGGAGGTGCATATATGGGAGAGAGAAACAGAGACCGGGCTAATCAGCAGATTGGGAGCAGGTGTGGACAGAGGAGTCTAGAAGGGAGCGAGGAGAAGGAGACTGACACAAGAGGGCAGCAGAGGGCAAACAAGAAATACCTAAGAACACAAAGACAGTCAAAAATGACTAGAATAACACAAAATGGAAATAAAACCAATGAAAACTCAAAGATAAAACTTAAATAGAACTAAAACATATCCGGTTAAAATAAAATTTTTTCAATTTGAAATAAAACATTTGAATGACAATTTTATGCACTGTTTTTTTTAAGGTAATTTAAATAGTGACAGATATTGTGTATCTCGATGATAGCCCAAATATATCATGATATTAGATTTTCCTCAAATTGCTCGGCTCTACTTTGAGGATTCCTGGGAGAACTGAGCATCCAGCCATTCATCTAAGGTCTTCAGGTGTCCACCACGTCCCTTTCTGGAATAATAACTCTTCAAACCTGCTGCTGAAGCAGCAAAGCTGTCCCACCAGGCCTTAAACCAAAATATAACCAGCTGCAAACACTGAAGATGCTGCACTTCCTGTTTAGAAGCTTCAGAGCGTAGAATGAGGACGGTCTTGTTTGCAGGATGACGTTCAGACCAGGAGATGAAGATTAGACCTGTAAGGCCGTGTGACCCGGCTCCGTCCCAGTTTCCCTCCCATCACAGCGCCTCTTTTCTGAGCCACATCTCTGCAGACCTTCAGCTCCCTAAAGCCCCATGCTCAGCTCCTCCTGCTCTAATATTAGCAGCTGCTCCAGCCGCTAACCGGGACAGTTATATTCAGCTCCTCGCTGACTTTCACTAGACTTTGACCGAGGACCAAGAATGAATGTCATCTATTACCGGATTATTTCTATGCTTTTTCTCATATTTTTGTTCCTCGCGTCAGAACTTCTGTTTCCATCTAAAGCCAGTGGGTTGATGGGCGCGAGGAAAAAAAGAAAACACGCCCATCTTCCACTGAAGGCTTTTATATACAGGACATTTGAAAGACTGCCTAATCTATGGGTCCTGCTGACGTCTGCCTACAGGTGTAGAAAAATAAAGACAATCTACACTGCAAAAACGATCTAGAAATATGTAAACACCTTTTAAATTAATGTATTTACCCTTAATTTAAGTTGGTAAATAAGATGATCTGCCAATGGAATGAGTATTTTTACTATAATTGGATAATATGCACTTGAAATCAGGCAATGCCAATGTTTTTTCTTTATTTTAAGTGTAAATTATCTTGTTCCATTTGCAAAGTTTCTCTTTTACCTCCTCAATCCAAGAACAAATGCACTTATTTTAAGAAAAAAATGACTTATCTAGATTTCAAATTTTTCCAGTGTGTGCTGTTGTGTTTCTACGATAAGCACTGCAAAAAGATCAAAATCTAAATTAGCCAATTTTTCTTACGATAACTTAATTAAGCAGATAAGTGAGACTCTTTGCCAATAAAATAAGATAATTTATATTTGAAATAAGAAAAAAGCAATTGCATTCTTATTTCAAGTGTACAGGTGCTGGTCATAAAATTAGAATATCATGAAAAAGTAGATTGATTTCAGTAATTCCATTTAAAAAGTGAAACTTGTATATTATATTCATACATTACATACAAACTCATATATTTCAGATGTTTATTTTGTTTAATTTTGATGATTACAAATGACAACAAATGAAAATCTCAAATTCATCATATCAGAAAATTAGAATATTACTGAAGACCAATAAAAACAAAGGATTTATAGAAATGTTGGCCAACTGAAAAGTATGAACATGAAAAGTATGAGCATGTACAGCACTCAGTATTTAGTTGGGCCTCCTTTGGCCTGTATTACTGCAG